TTTACCTATAAATAAATTTATACCTTACTTTAAATCTTCTAGAAGCTATCTGATGTTCTTTTATGACAGTTTTGACACTGCTGATATTTTATAAATGGGCTGTTTATTAACTGCTGCTTTTAATCACACTTTTTTTCTCAAAAAGATAATATTCTGCCTCCCACTATAAAGAGAAAGGGACACATGTGGAGAATATTTTTTTAACTATATAAATACAAAGAGGTGTAGGGTTTTTTTCAGTATTTTAGTTAGAATAAAGCAATAAATGGATACTGAAAGTGAAGAAAATGAAACAGCTGTATAGCCTAAAACTATTAAACTCACAAAGAAGATTAATATCATAAACACAGCCTAGCACAAAATAATTTTGTGTATCCATTTGCAATTTCTTATTTAATGACAGATTCACTGTATTTGTTTTTAATAAATGAGAGAGCAAATAAAGGGTCTTAAGCTCATGCTGTAATAAATTATTAATTTACAAACAAAATTGCCCTAACAATCTTATAGCTGATACAATATAGAACATTTTAAACAGGTGGAATTACCATTCAATTCTTGGTCATGCAAAAATAATTTAACCTCTATAATTTGAATAGAATTAATTGTACTTGAAACAGATTCTTTCTATTAGGGAAATATAATTTCTAGGATAGAAATTCTACTTTGTCCTAACAATACTATCCACAGGTGTTTTTCTCTCAGTTTTATAAATCAGTAGTTACTATATTTTAATTGCAGGTACTTTATGACTTCTTTTCCTTCATTTTTTTGTTGGTCAAACTTTATGTATTTTTAATATACTCCACTACTGCATTACTGCACCAAAATACATGAAATATAATTCCAAATTTACACACAGAAATAAGACTACATTCAGAAGCTTCGATTCAGAAAAATGTCTTATTTTTCAACCTTTGCCAACAAAACTACTGTTCGTTAGCATAACTAAATATTTTTCCTCTCCTCCAGTTTGATTCCTAGATCAGGTATGGACTCATTGAGCAATACAGAAGTCCAACACTAATCAAAATTATTACCATCCTCTTTCTTCTACCAAGCGGATATCCTTTGTGCCAGTGTAATTCTCTGTTGCTCTTTCAGGCACACTGAAAGGGCTGAAGAGGTTGCAAAGGGGCCTAAACAGAAGACTAGATATGGTCTTTGATATTCACAGTGAAAGAATTTTGAAAGGCAAAACCTCATTAAGAAACACCGCAAAGACATGATTCAACTGTTTTCACAAGCCATACTACCTCACATCAAAGGCAGCCTGGTCTTTAGAGGTTGGCTTGTCAAACTGCATTAGAAAGTGGCTTTTCTGATTAGCTATCAAAGGTTTGTAATGATAGCACCAAGATAAATGCTTTTGATCCAGCAAGTCATGATTTCTCTTAATGTCTCCTACTTTGAAACCTCTACTGCATTTTCTAGCCTCTTTAAATCTATATTTATATACAACTGTTTAGGATTCTTTAACCATCTTAATACAAAAAGAAGGGACCAAACACTGAAAAGATAAATTTTCCGCTCAGAGGTCACTGAGTTTGGTCTAAATTCTGTCTACCCACAGTGTCTGAATAAGCTAAAATCTAGGCCACTGGGGAACAGAAATCTATAACATCTCCACAGGAAAATTTTTGCTGTGATCAGTGGAGATAAAAGTACTTGGTACTTGATGCTTTCTTTTCCTCGTTGATCGTTCCCTCAAAACTGATAATTATAATAGAAATCCCAACAGTTTCAATGGAGTGCAAAAGGAGGTGCAATTCAGTTAACAGAATATTCTTAACTCAAAAAATAATGATGCGACTATTATATAATCATATTTATGCTTATTGTCAAGCTTTATGTTTAATTGTGCAATGTTGAAAATAAAAGTCTTATAATACTGTAGATACTAAAAAGCTATAAAGAATTATGCCATCTACAAGAAGTCTGCAGACACCAAAAATCAGAGAAATAGAAAAAATTAAGCTATGTGTTTGATGTTAAGTTAGACTTTTGGGAATAGTATATATACAATCCCTGTGGTAGACCTATAGTAAAAGAACAGAAGAAGTAGTAAGGAAGTTGAGGTAAAATTACTAAGATAATATTGATAATTAACAATGTGAAACTAACAAACAAAGCAAAATTTAAGAAACTTGAATTTGATAAATTCAGACTCACTGGATAATCTCTCATCTCTGAATTCTGAAAGTATTTGCACATAAAAATGGATGTCTACTTTTTCAAGTATTTTCTAGTATTTTCAGGAAATCATCCAGTGCAGAGGTAGTACCTGGTAACTAAATAATAGAATTGAATATAGTTAAAAGGCACAAGAACAGTCCTTGTAATTGCAGAACTGGTACCTGTTCTCAGTAATGCCAGGTTTTAGGGCTTTTAGAGAAAGACATTCTATTT